TATAGATGAAAAAAATGATAACAGGTATTACACATATGCCTACCTTAGTAGCTCATAAATCATAATATTTGTTTTTATTTTAACCATCTATGTTGGAAGTCCTTTTCTGCAATAATAATTATTAAATAACAGTAAGTCTATAGAATTCTTCTTCTTAATAGTGGTGCTTGATTTGGGAAAAAATATAAGAGGGGCTCACTGGATGTAGGCTGAAAGAGCGTTCTTCACAAAATTAACCATCACGCACTACCATGGAAGCTTCGACCCACCAACCCCTTCCAGCATCAATCAAACCAAAACAATACTATATTTGTTCTATAAACATGTATTGAATATATAGAAATGTATAGAAGATTTACTTATTTATTGTTTTTAAAATAATATAAAATTGGTCAATTATTTAAATAAATTATGCAAATTATACATTTATAATATATTTATATATATATTATAATTACTGCTGTAATGGATGGAATTAAATTTGAATCCAATGATATTAAATCATTGTATCCGAAAAACGATTCTGAGTGGAGACGGTTTATCTGTCTAGGATATATTATAGATKATCAAAAATTTTCAAATCGAAGAAATTGTTTTATGAATTTCAAGCTTAAAATAATTTGCGAATTTTCGTGATTTTTACGTATGTCGTAAAAATTCAAACTTTGAATGATTATAAAAAAAAATCGTGACTATATATTTCTTTTATTTTTCAACTGCTATTGTAAAAATATGTTAGGAGCCTTGTATCAAATTTTCAAATCTTAGATATAAAAAGAAAATTTTTAATGAATTTCTATATAAGATAATTTGAACATTGCCGTAATTTTTTACGAATTTAGTCAAAATTTGAACTTTAAATGCTTATAAAAAAAATCGTGCCTAAGAATTTTTAACATTTTTCAACTGCTATTGTAACAATATGTTAAGAGCCTTGTATTAAATTTTTAAGCTTTTCTACTCAACAAATACATTTTTAWCGATATTAATTTWAAAAAAAACTAATAATCGAAAATTGCAAATACCTATGAATAGTTAACTAGAGTCGGCATTTTTTGAAAATTGTATCTTGTATGGTGGATAGTATATTATACTTATATAATTTACATTCAGTGAACATTTCATGTATCTATGGTCATGATGGGTTTAAAGTTATATCAAAAACCAAAATCGATTTTGTCGAAAACTGATTGTGCTTAAAATTTCCCGTTTTCCCCTTAATTTTTAGTTTGTTTATCTCAATTATTTAGAAAAATATTGAGAAATTTTTTCTTTTGACCTCCCAAAGTATCAACTAGAGTCACATTCTGATTGAACGAGGTACTGAAGTCGAAAATCGAAGCACTGCTTTTGCTGTCCCATGCAAAACGTGATGACAGACACAAAAAAAAAA